GGTGGGGAGGGTGGGGGGTTGGCCCGGCCGGGGGAGCCGGCCCAGGCGTCCGACTCCGCGGGGGAGGAGGCGCAGTGGGAGAACTGCGTCCTGGGAGGGAGACCATCGCCGTGTCACGCGGGAGGGGTGAGCTTGCGAGGTCTCGCCTTAGTGCTCACCGGGACCCCTCTCGTTTTACAGAAGGGGAAACTGAGGCCGAGAGAAGGCACCCCAAGGCCACCGTACAAGCCAGAACCAGGACTCCGGGCCACTAGGCTTTCTACCTTTCCACGGTAGAAATCTCCCATCTCAAATCTGCAGGGTTTATTTTTTAATACACCTCCGACACAGGAGAGCCACTTGGTATTCCCCCCAGGGCAAGCGGCACTCTGAGGAAAATGCCAAGAACTCTACGGAGTTTTGGGTGGAGATGGGCTGGTGGGGCTGGTGGGAACGGGAGCCTCCAGAGGGGTCCCGATGGGAAGTTTCACTCCCAGGAAACCGCTCCTCCGGAGCTTTTGTCTGTAGAAGCCGTGTCAAGTCAAGGGCTTCATCCCCGTTTGGAGAGCAGGTTGGGGGAGGTCTGTCAAGAATAAGGAACCACGATCGGATTTATATTTTAAAAACACTTTCCTAGTAATTTGGCCTCTTACACTTGGGGCGGGGGGAGGTCACCGAGCCCCTCTAAGGGAATGTTCCTATGGTTTGAAGCCACTGTGCTCCGTGAGCACCAGCTATTCCTGAATCTGAGACGGAAGGGGTGGAGGGACATGCAAGAAGCAGCCAACAAAATGGCCCTCACAGAGGTAAGTTTCCTGATCCGAGCTACACTGCTAGGCATTATGGCTGATAACGTTTCTGGAAGCTTTGTCCATTATTTCTAACAATGAGTAAAACCAGGGGGAGAAAGATGTGAACACAGCCTCAACATATCCCAACATACCTGGCCTCTTTCGAGCTGGGCAAGTCATTATTCTGACTTGGCCTTGGTTTCCCCATCTGAACAGTGGGGGTCAGTGGTACCTGTCTAGGAGGGGTGCTATGATAAATATGCCCAACCCAGTGTGTGTGTGTCTGTCTGTCCACAGAAGTGCTCACGTGGTGGTGGCTGCTATGATGTGCTTACTACGGGTCCTGCCAGAAGTGGCTGTCTGGAATGGTCCTTGCTTTCTATAGAAATGGTTAGTTTCCCCGAGGGGATGGGACTTCCCTTTTGTTTACGCCTTTTCTGCTGGGAAGTGGTGCTCTCAGAAAGAACAATGTGCCTTTTCATGCTTTTGTTAAACACGACTCTTCCTTCAAGCCTTGCGTGTTAGGAGCAGAATCTGTTGACGGCAAGTAGAGGGACTGAGCAGTGTGGCTAGTGATCAGCCCAAGAACGTCAGGTCATCTAAGGGCTGAGTGAGGCCCAGCCTTCAAGGGGTGCATTCCAAGCCTGGCCACTGTGTACAGCAGTGGGTGACACTCTCTAGGGTTTCAGCCACGGGTGGGGGCTTCCTGGCTTTGTCTGGGCAGCAGGGAAGGCAGCAAGAGAGGGAGCAGACAAAGATCTATTTGGGGGGGGGGCGCGCCAAGTAGTTTGCTGCAAAGTTGTACCACCATAGCCCCATGTCCTGGCAACCCGCCTTCTGCCCACTTTTCCAGCACGTGCCACGGACTCTGAAACCTCACCCTCATTCAGAGGGACAATTAAGCATGTGTTTTCTAGATTGATTTGCTGTCTTTTTGGACAATTGGAATTTGGGAAGAAAAGATAAAAATTAAGTTATTTTCCGTCCTGTTTGCTGCTGGGTTACCAGCAACGAGAAAAGTACCTAGCGCAGGGGAGAGGCTCAGAACTAGGGGCATCTAAGCGTACGGAGGCTGGGCTCCTCCTTTTAACAGAAGTTAAGAGAGTATATGGTGCGAGTCTGTTTTATCTTGAGAAAAATTTTCAGTTGAGCTTCTTTATAAAGATGCCTGTTTTGGGGTGCCTGGCTGGCTCAGTCGGTTAAGTGTCTGACTCTTGATTTCAGCTCAGGTCATGATCTCGGGGTCGTCAGATCGAGCCCCGAGTCAGGCCCCACACGCAGTGCGTCTCCCTCTGCTCTTCCGTCCCCTTCCCCCCCCCACCGCACTCTCTCTTTCTCAAATAAATAAATAAAATCTTTTTCTAAAAAAGATGCATGTTTTATAAACACATATGAACATGTTATAACATATAAATATGGCTTATATTCTGTGCCATACTCTTTTCCATATTTGAAATTCGCTCGGTTGATTTGTTCTTAATTTCTCTGAAGTTTCCATCCTTGAATACTTGTTTTCTAAGAGGTGAAAATTGTTTTGGAAACTGAGTCCAAAGTGCTGTCTTTTTTTTTTTTTTTTAAGATTCCATTTATTTATTTGACAGAGAAAGACACAGTGAGAGGGAACACAAGCAGGGGGAGTGGGAGAGGGAGAAGCAGGCTTCCCGCGGAGCAGGGAGCCCGATGCGGGGGCTCGATCCCAGGACCCTGGGATCATGACCCGAGCCGAAGATAGTTGCTTAATGACTAAGCCACCCAGGCACCCCCCAAAGTGCTGTCTTAGACACGCAATGATCTCCTTCCCCCAGTCCTTCAGTTCAGTTGACAAAATTCAGGATAAACAACATAGGATGCTGAAGTTTGGGATAATTTTTTTTTTAACAGAGGGATACGTTGTTGGACTTACACACCTAATTCACGATCAGCTATACAGTATTTTTATATGAGATAATATGGGTTTGTACCATATATGATAATATGGGTTTGTAACATATATAAACAGTAATATGGGTTTGCAACATTAAATAAGGGAAAATTTCATCTGTATGTTTTATTATCCTCAGAATAATAAAAGAGTTACGTATCTAAAAACATTAAAAACATATATCATATGTTATAAACTTATTCATATATTACATTATAACCACGATATATGAAGGTTGGAAAACGGGAAACAATGATACTCCCAGTTACCTGCTCTCTTTAATATTCTGTGTCTGTGTCATCCTTTTTTCCATTTTGCATATTCTCTAAAATGTGCAGCTCTTACTTCTGGGGGAAAAAAAAGATAATTATACTAAAGTCTCACCCCCTTTTGCAACCGTTACTGCTTTGCACTCTTCCCTTCAGCCTCTGGCAGCGGACCCGGAGGGTCAGCCAGGGGCATGGGGTGCGCAACACGCCGTTGCTGACTGAGCAAGCTGGCTGGTTAAGAGTGCTGCCTGAGCTACAGGCAGAGACCTGCTCCGGTGCTGTGTGTGGTCCCCCCCAACCGCCCTCGGATCCATCTCCTACCACTTTCCCTTCCCCTCGCCGGCTCTGTTCCAGGCACACTGGCTTCCTTGCTGTTCTTGGAACACGCGGAGCAAACTCCGCTTTTGAGCCAAACTCAAGGCCTTTGCCCCTGCTGTTTCCTCTGCCCCGGACACTGTTCTTTCTGACATTTCCTTTGTTTGCTCCCATGTCTCCCTCAGCTCTCTGCTGCAAAGGCAGCTCCCCAGGGAGGCCCTTCCTGACCACTCGTGTAAAACAGTACCCATCGCCCCTGTCCCCGTCACTACCTTCCCGTGCGCTGTTCCGCACATCTTCCTAGTACTCACAGTCTGCTGACGCGCTGTCCATCTTTCTTCTTTGTTTAATGTCTCTTTATTGGGATGCCTGCCTCCCCCAAAGCAGGGCTTTAATCTATTTTGTTCCGTGGAACAGTATGTGGCGCATAGTAGATGCTCAGTAATAGTTGGCGAATGAGTGAATTCAAAAGACTGTGGGTCTGGCCAGCAGGCTGTGGGTGGGGTTTAGGGCGTTGAGATGGACAGAGCCACACCGATGCCCCAGCAACAAGGACTGCTATGTCCCTACCAGCCTGCGCACCTGCCCCTGCACAGGGCTGAGGCCCCACCGGGGAACCACCTGCCTGGGCGGAGTCTGGTGTGGAAGGCTGAACCGATCTCACAAGCCCTGCTGCTGGGCACAAGCCGAGGGGCACTTGCCAGTGCAAACCGAATTACTAGCAACATTCCAGATGAGCCCAGCTCTTCCTTCTATGGATGTGAGGGAGAAAGGCAAATGAGGCTCCTTCCCTTTCCCCCAGTCCTGTGATTTTTATAAGACAAATGGAAGACTTTCAGACATCTCTGTTTTGTTCCTAAAATCCAGAGAGCGAGTTTTTCTACATGGACTGTATTGGTAGAAAACAAGCATCGAGGACTTCAAAGAAAATAATTAGCAATGGTGCATGTAATTTAATTCTCTTCATTTCCGACGCCCCTCCCCGGCGTCAGCTAATTTTTCCCGCATACCGCCTATGAAGTAAGACTTAACAAAAAGATCTCTTTGGGTTATTTGAATTCCTTTCATCCCATGGCCTCAGAGTGCTGCAGGTACAGTAACTCGTGAGTCCTCTCCTATTATGTGGGTGGAATTAAGATATTGTTCCCACACATTCTGGACTGAGAAATAAGCAAGAACCACAAAAGAATTGTAAAAATAGGACAGAGAAGAGAAAGGCTTGGAAACAAGTGGCTCAGCCACATCAGAGTCACTGGTGAAGGTCGGTGTCTGTCAGGGGCCGGGGTGGGGAGGGCCGCACAAGGGAATGGTGGAAGAATACTATTCATGCCTGCGTCCCTGAGAAATCCCATTCCTCGGATGGGACACTCGAGGACCGGTCGCAGGGGCAGCTGAAGCCCCAGTGTTCGCAGATGAGATCCTTAACCATCCTGTGTCCTCTGCTTGCATGAGGCTTCGTGATCTTTCTGGGTGCCTCAGCCAGATCTCCAGGGCGTGGACATTTAATCTTCCTGACTGCTGTGGTCAGCAGGGAGATCTGTCTCCGCAGAAGCCCAGCAACAATTACAGCCCGTGCAATTCATTTGGCAATTAATCCCAGGCTGTCCGGGGACAAGGCTGCTGTTGCCGGCTTCAAGCTGTTAGTTGGTGCCTTCTTTGTTTGCTTGTGGGCACCCCGGGCTCAGGGTGGGCAGGGCCACTGCTGGTATTTTTTTTTTTTTTAAGATTTTATTTATTTATGCGGCGCCTGGGTGGCTCAGTTGTTAAGCGTCTGCCTTCGGCTCAGGTAGTGATCCCAGGGTCCTGGGATCGAGCCCTGCATCGGGCTCCCTGCTCGGCGGGGAGCATGCTTCTCCCTCTCCCACTCCCCCTGCTTGTGTTCCCTCTCTCCCTGTCTCTCTCTCTGTTGAATAAATAAATAAAATCTTAAAAAAAAAGATTTTATTTATTTATTTGACACAAATTGAGAGAGAGAGAGACAGAGACAAGTGGGGGAAACCGCAGAGGAAGAAGGAGAAGCAGACTCCCCGCCGAGCAGGGAGCCCGATGCGGGGCTCGATACCAGGACCTTGGGAGCATGACCCGAGCCGAAGGCAGACAGACACTCCACCGACTGAGCCACCCAGGCACCCGTGGTATTTCTTTTCTATCCAGAGACCCGAGCATCATGCTGGGTTTCTGGGAAGATTTCAGCAAGGACTTGTGGAGGGAAGAGGGAGCCTTCTGCTATGGAAAGATGGAGTGTCTAGAAGAGACCCAGGAGGACGAAAATGGTGCTCGTGTGGTACGTGCGTGAAAGGATTTGAAGGGGGAAAGGAGTGCCTGCTGAGCGCTCGAGCACCTCTTCTGGGCTTGGCCTGACATTGGCACCTTCACCAGATGACAGTTGTCCCCTAACAGACACTGTGTGCCAGGCGCTGTGTCGAGCACTTGAAATTCATCCTCACCACAGTCCCCTGAGGAAGAGATTACTATGGCCATTTTACAGATGAGGTAAACTGAGTCTCCAAGGGATTCGGTCACTTCTACAGAGTCACACAGTGGTGGAATAAGATTCGAACTTTGTCTGACCATCTCATTCTTTTTTTTTTTTCTTAAGTAAACTCGACACCTAATGTGTGGCTTGAACTCATGACCCCGAGATCAAGAGTCACATGCTCTACCGACTGAGCCAGCCAGGCACCCCTCATTCTTAATCACAGCCCTGCTCAATGGCCCCCGCCGTCACCAACAACCTTGTGAGTTGGAGGGTATCGTTCTGTTTTACTGATGAGGAAGCAGGTGCGGAGTGGCTGGGCCGCTAGCAAAGCCAGCTCATCTGCATCTCTTCAGCCTTCCAAGTACATCTACCCTGCATTCAGTCCCAACTCATAAATCCCACCGAC